ATATCGAACAGCCCTAATTGGTTCTATCCCCAAATTCAAGCCTATTGGTCGCTTTGCAAAATAAGTTCTTGCAGCTGATGTCAAAGGTCAAGCACAGTGTTCACGCTGACCCATTTTTTGACCCCATACTCGACCGCTTTTTCCTTTCCCTACTTGGTGCACATTTCTCCTGTTCTCTGTATGAAAGAGAGTGAACTGACATATTTGAGATTCGTCACAGAACTGTCTGTAATCTGCACATCTGACGGTCTAACTGCAGCCTAATTATCCCACAGAGGTTTACACAACCAAGGTTGATCCCGATGAAGCGGCACTCTGTGCTGACTTGAATCAACTTTCCCGAGTTCAAATCAGGGACGGGAGCTGATGTGAAGCGTGGAGGTACAGTTAGACTCTGCAGGTGCCAGGGAGCCTGTTATCTAAAAAGGCATGTTTAATTTACAGAGAGAGATCAAAGCCGAGTTACGCACAGGAGCTGCGCTCTGGTAGCTCCTCGGGAGCGCAACACCGCACGCGCGGCTTTATTTTGTTTTGTTTTCTAATTGGAATTACAGAGAGGCTGAGAGCGGCGACGGCGGGGAAGCTGCTGATGAAAATGATGGGTTGAGGTTTAACAAGATGCACATGAGGACTCGCAGCTGCAGGGTGCCGCACACGCAAACGAAACAAAGCTTCTCGCATCTGTTTGGCAACTCTCGTCTTAGTTTGCCTCGACTTAAATGACCCTCACAAGTCCGACATGTATTTAAGCGAGTCGACGAGCGCTTTGCAAGCAGGGGGCACCACTGTTCACAAATCAGCCCACTCGAACGCCAACCTGGATTCAGCAGGTTTGCAGTTACATGCACACAGCCACAGATGCTATCAGTTTCAGACATACTTTATGCAAACAGCAGGAGGTTTCTAAACACGTCAGACAGCATGCACACTCAGCTGTCTGCAGATCCATGAAGTTTTGGTCAAGCTTATGCTGGTGTCCTAAATCTACCTTACATTATAGATGCAGAACTGAATCTGGAGCCTGTAAGTGTTCTCATGTCAGAATCGAATAGAATAGAATAGAATAGAATAGAATAATCCTTTAATTGTCCCACAAGGGGAAATTTGGTTGTAACAGCAGCCAAAAAGACACATATACAAACAAACAGTACACAGGACACGGAACAGAAACATACACAATTTTTCTTACATATTTACATTAAGGACAATGGTTACTATAAACAGAGAGTACTGTACAGTTATTAAAATAAATAAAAATAACTACAGGTAAGAGGCAAACTAGGTTGTAGTGAGAACTGGTTAATTAACTAACTTATTGCAGTTACAGCATTGATGTAAACATCTATGTTTGTTGGGAGCAGATTGTACAGTCTGACAGCTGCAGGGAGGAAGGACCTGCGGAAACACTCCTTCATGCATCGAGGATGCAGCAGTCTGTCACTGAAGGAGCTCTGCAGTTCAGCAACAT